TATGTTTATTTAAATAAAAACGCGTAAGGTGGCAATACTTTAGTTCACAATAGAATGCGCCTTTTTGTCTATGGCAGTTCTATTGCGACTTTAAAAATGGCGCGTGTGAAAATCGATAGTGCTTTAAAACAATTATTAATTTGTGCGCGTGCGAGCACCTGTATACTATTAATACAAATATTACAATGTAGTTATTTATAGTGCTGTTGCAAATATGTATATAGTTTGTGTGCTTACCAGCTTAAACTCCTCAATGGGCAGCGTGAAGAGCTGCTCTTCAGCTGCTATGGCGTCGAATTCCGTAAAGCTCTTCAGAGTACCGTTCGAAATTGAGCTACTCATAAAACGCGGATTTTTGATAATAACACCACCGCGTTGTATGCTCAATTCGCTAATATCGCCTGGTGCTGAGTCGCCTGAACCGTTGCCCGAATCCGAGCCGCTTGCCTGATACGCCAGCACTGCGGCCATTGGCTCCTTACGGGGTTTGGGCGGCGGACTTGGCGGTCGATCGGGCGTATCGAGACTGCAATTACGCGCCAAACTGCAAATTCGTGCTGCTGCTTGTTGGCGCAGCGCCTGCGCTGCCGAAGTGCTCGGCCGGGGCAATGATTGTGTGCTAAACTTGTGCTCCATATGCTGCGACTGCAACTGCATATCGCTGGTGGGATTGCAGCGTGCAATGGTCTGAAAGCGGGCCAGGCCATGGCCATTGGTGGCATCTGTTGTGGCAAGCTGTTGCTGCTGCTCCTGTTGCTTGTTAATGTTGCACACCACCATCGCCTGAGCAGGTGTTAAGCTCTGTGAGCGTTGCTGCTTCTTGCAAGGCAGCCTGGGCGGCGGCACATCTCGACGCACTCGAGGTGGTGAACAATGCGGACTGGCGGGCGTTCCAGCCTGCTGCTGTTGTTGCTGTTGTTGCTGCTGCTGCTGTGTTGCTGGAACATCCCCAGTCAGTTGGCCAAAGCGAAAGACTGCGGAGCCGCCTGCATTATTGTTGCCCATTGGCGAGTTCAATGGACTCAGGCCACGCAATCCGGCCAGCATTTGTGAGTGCAGCTGATTGCCCACAATCTTGTGGCCATAGAAGGATAGTGGATATGTGCGATTGCATGGATATTGTATAAGGGCGCCGGAGGCAGCTGATATTGGTTTGCCGGAACCTACATAGAAGGTGATCAAATCTGGCACCGTATCGAAGGCATCTTCCTCAAATTGATACTGCACGCGCTCGTAAACAGTCTCCGGTTGCAGTACCAGCTGGAAAATAAGGGAATTAAGTGAGGTTAGTGCGATTCAAATAGTATTTATTTCTTGTATCTATATTCTATATCTATGTAATTTTGTCTATATTTGGGATCAAATTCGTTAGAAGATCTAATTAAGAAAGAATTTTCTTTTTAATATATCTTTACATTAAATGTAAATCTCCAATATCTAAACTTCTTAATATGATCGAAATTTCATTATAATAGAGAAATAAAGTCTTCCCACTTCATCAATTCCTCACACCTTACCCAGCACTTGCCCTTTTTAACTCTTTCTCTTCCTCTTCACTCACCTTGTTAAGCACAAAATGCAAGACAGCTGCTTTGCTGCGGCAGGTGAGCACATAGTTGTCCGGCTGGGAGGCGCAATCTCGCACCAAAAAATCTCCATCTCGCTGGACAATCTCCTCGGCCCGCTGACGTGGCAAGGCGCCGTGGTACCAGGCATGCGAACGCAGCTCTCTGGCATCCAAGCTCAGTTCCCATTCGAGTGCCTTTTTCAGCGCTATGGCCTCCTGTTGCTCATTGGGATTGGGCGAGGCGGCCAGGGGCGTGGAAATGTTACTGTTATTGCCGCTTTCCATATCGTCGGCGTTGTCGCCCCAATGCGGACTGTTGCACTTGGAGCGCGGCTTCAATTCCTCATAGCTGCAATGAGAGCGAAAAAGAAAGAGAGAGTAAAAGGAGAGCGTGAGAGTGTGAATTATTGCACTTTTACAAATTTCCCTTATTATGGGTAATTTATTGTGTGCGTGTGAGAGCTTTGTGTACATTGCCCTCACACACACAGCCGGGCTAGTGTTGAAAAGGGAAATTCGCTCCCACAGGATTGTTTCTTGGTATATGCGAACTTTTGTCTGAAGTTCAAGTGCAAAAAAAAAAAATTTACGCTAATGCAATTGTAGTAAAAGTTGTAATTATTGTTTACGCTGAATCCAAGCAACAATTTTGAATTTGTAAATGAATATTGTTGATTCAATTGAGTTTTAAATGCTGTTCATTTACAAATTGTTATCACTCACCTGCTACGCCCATTTTGCTAGCTTTTCGTTACGGAATATATACGCAGGACACGCCTTAAACTATTTTCTCTTTATTTAATACTATCAGACTTTGCATAGAAACAAAATGCTGATATTTACAAAAAATTTTGTTTTCTTTTTAGCTCTATTTAGTATTTATTTTTTGTTTACTAAAACTGTAAAACTTTTAGTTTATTCTTATCTGTGGCTTTCTTATCGCGTCGACCTCGTCTGCACTCCTTGCCATCTAAATTCGCTCTGCGTTTTTTGGCCCACCCTGGCACAAGTCGAATGTCCTTGTGAGGGTTGTTCGCTTGGCCCGACTTGTTTGTGTTTTGTTTTAAGATTTTTATGCCGCTTGCCTAACGGCATAAGGTTTATTGTGTTTTTTTTTTCTTTTTATGGGAAATTCTTTGGGGCATGCGCAGAGTTTTTGTTATTGAAATATATTTATGTGTGTGAGGGGCTAGAGAAGTGGTTGTTATTAACGGAAATATGCGGGCAGGCAGGCAGGAAATTGTTAAATTTAGAAGTTGCATGTGAATGTTATCGAATAGTGGAACTTGTTTGAGGATTCGTTTTATTTAAATATGAGACTGTCCATAATTTATATGAATAAAATATGAAATTAAATATAGAAATAATATAGTTAATAATATATATCCAATTATAAAGTATATGCCGATTATCAAGTTAAGATTATGGGAATTATCAATTCGTAAAGCCGATTATTTATCACTTTCTATACAACGTTGATAATATTTTATCTCAAATTATTTTCAGCATATTAATATACTTTATCAATTATGTATTGATTTCTATTTCCTATAACTTTGAATTAATCAATTCAATTTTTTCAATTAATGAAAGGCCAATGTCTTAGTCTGAGAAGAGAATAAAGTCGAGCTAGAAATAACTCTACAGTTTTGCCTGAGTTTTCGACGATTTCTTTATCATACTCACATTGTTGTTGTCTCATCGAATGTTAATTGCTTTAAGACCTTGCCACTTTTGGTGGTAACCACAGCCGTTCCGCCGCTGTCATTGCTTTCGGTCACATTATCGGGATCTAGATAAACCATGGGGCAGGAGCTCTTGCGACGCGGCACCGCACATGGAGCACTTCTCATGGCTGTTCGTAGATAAGCCAGCTATAGATCGGCATTAGAATTGAATCACTTTCGCCACTTACCTTCCAAATTCATGGATTGTCTGCGCTTGGCCCGCACGCCCAACAAGCTGTTGAGCATTTTCTGGCGATGGGTAATGCTGCGTACGCCCAAACGCTTCAAATCTCTGTCGGTTAGATCGCCAACATCATTCACAGTGGCATACATATTCAGATTTTCTGCTTGAGCGGATGTGACACGTGAGTTAATGCACTTTTGCAAAAGAACAACAAAAAGTGCTGACTAAACTGACCTTCATATTGCTGTAGCTCGAGCAGATTGAGCCATTCGCTAATGCTCAACCTGGAGTTGTGGATGATCATGGCAACATCGTCGCGTCGTCTGCTGCCATTGGGATAACGAAAGTTCCAAAGGATGCCTAATTGAGACAAAAAGAAAAATAGGGCGAGATCAAATCGGATCAAAAAGTTACTTATTTGTTTTGCAAATTCCTATCCCACTTACTGCTGCGTCTATTTGTCGCATTCCGCGAGTCTAGTTGACGCGTTTGCACATTACCCATTGTCTCAACAATTTCTACGTAGTTCTCAGCGTTTGTCTATAACTATATTAGCTCTATAATTAAGCCGTCGCATTGCCGCGCGCTCGTTAACTGAAATTTTCAACCGCTCACAGCGCTTAGTCTCAACAAACTGAACAAACGAAGCTCTAGCTAAACATTATTGACGGAACC